GTCTGGAAGAGTTTGAGAAGGACTGGTATGAGTTCTTCTTTGTATGTTTGGTAGAATTCCCCGGTGAAGCCATCCGGTCCTGGACTTTTATTTGTAGGGAGGTTTTTAATTGCTATTTCTATTTCCTTTCTAGTGATCGGCCTTCTTCCTTTTTGACATGATCCATTCAGCAAGTATTTTATCAAGTGCCTATGATGTGCCAAGCTCTATGCTAGGAAGAAGCTGGGGGTTGTTCTAAGCACTTTACATATATTAACTCATTTTAGTCTGATGGCAATTCTGTAAAGTAGGTATTATTATTCCTACTTTACAAATGAAGAAAGTAAGGTATATAAGATAGATGATCAATTTGTTCAAGGTCACACTGTGAATAAGGGCTTAGAACTCAGAGCTCATGTGCTTAGACTATAAACAAGTAAATAAACAAGAAAGATACTTCTTATGAGGGAAATAGAATGATGTAAGAGTGATGGGGAAGTGTGTCCTCTGAATGGGGTAGTCAGGCAGGCTCCTGTGAGAAGGTGGCTTACCCTGAAGAATGGGAATGAAAGAGCTCTGTAAAGAGCCTAGGAAAAGTCAATCCAGGCAGAAGAAATGGTGAACGCAAAAGTGCTGAGACTGAATATTCAAATACGAGATGGGAGGCCAGTTCTGGCCATTCTACCCCTAAATACCCCTCCAATCGGTCCTTCTTCTTCCCCCAGCTGATCCCAGCCTCTACCTCTATCAGCTGGATCCCTGCCCCAGCTCCTCCCTGATCCCTCCACTTCCAGCTTCCCCTTTTGGCCTGTCCTCTGCAGTACAGCTGCCAGAGTGATCCTAAAAATGCATAAATCTGATCCATCTCACTGCCCCACTTAAAACCTGTTCCACTGTCTTCTGGACAAACAAACAAACAAACAAAAAAACCCAAGCTCTTTGGATTGATTATCTGTAACCTCCCTCCCTATGGCTATGGTCTGGTCCCATGACATGTTAGCTCTTCTGGTTCCCTTCACTTTGCAACCACATGAAAGTCCTTACAGTTCCCTGAAGGTCCTGGGTTGTCTCACCCCCAATGCTCCCCATGTGCTATCCGTTCTATCTGAAATACTCATAAGCCTCTCTTCACCTGCCTAACTGTTCTCATCCTTCAAAACTCAGCCAAAGCAATTCCTCCTCTAGGAAGTCTGTCTCATTTCCCATCTCACTCACCCCAGCTATCTGTGATGGTCCCTCTCTGGTGCTCTCCTGGCATGCCATGAGTACATGTCAGCACAAATCCACAAGAGAGAAGAGAAATAAAAGGGAAATTTACTCCATGCAGGTAACTTCCCCAAATTTTTACTCCCCTGCACCATCTACCTGCTTTTGTTTAATTTTCAGAATCATCAGGAAGTTGTGTTTTGTATTTTTGTTCAGTTTTTATGTAGGAGGGATCAGCTGTAGTGGACTTACTCTGTCTTGGCCAGAATTTGAAACTCCTACATAGTTAATTTTAAGTTGCTGTAATTTTTAAAAGCTAAGAGAAATGAAGTCTCAAAACACCATGAAGACTGTGACAGCAGGAGAAAAGCTCAAAGCTAAGAGGCAAAAACAAATACGTCTCCCATGTTTAGAGTCCTATTTAGATGTCAGGCCACTCCTTCTAAATTGTGGTATCCAGGCCAACAGGATTATTTCTGTTTTTTTTTTTTTTAATGAGAAGATTAAGGAAGAGCGGATGATTTGCCTATTTGGTCTCAGATCTAATCCCCTGTCCTTCTCCTGCTCTATATTGCAGGGTATTGACCATTGCAAACTACATTTCCCAAGATTCTTTGAAAATTAGCTTTTAATTAGAGACTGCCAATAGGAGGGCGAGAAGAGAGGAGAAACCAGAGTACTTCTCCCACTCTTTCTGTTTTGGGCAGCATCCCAGCAACAGCTGTGTTTCTTCTGTGTTCTATTCTTTGTATACCATCTCCCTCAATGTCCCTGCTGGGCTGCCCCGGTCCCCAGCTCGGTAACACCACCTCCTCTCTCTGTCCTTCCACAGTACAGGGGGTAGTGGTTTCCCACTGTACCTGATCTCTGGGTTGTCCTACACCCCATTTCCCCTTTCAACCCTTGCAACATTTTTATATCCAGTTTCTTTGATTAGAGTCCTGTACTGAAATACTGGCATAGGCTGCAAGGGAGCATCAGAGGAAACAGACCAACTTCTGGCCAGTTAGGAGGGCAATGCATTGATCTAAGTTGCACATTATCTTAAAGGAATGTGAAAAATTGTTTTATCTATATAACCAATTTTCTAGGAAAGTCATCTTATAATCAGCAGCATCATCCTTTTGTTTTAATACAGTACCCTGTCATTTAGGATTCTGAATCTTCCTTACCTGTATCACCACTCCTCCCATGTGTTCTTTTAGAACAAGCAGTGGGTAAGCTGTGGAAAATGGAAGTGACTTCGGGGAGACCCAGCAGAGTAGGAGATGAGAACTGAATAAGAACCGGGGCTGGGACAAGGGCAGGACTCCAGCAGAAGTGGTCAGTTCTGCCAAAGAGAAGGTGGGATGGCTTCACCCCAGGACCAAACCAGGGATCATGGGATCCAGTGGTGTCTGAGTGGGATCACAGGTTTGGCAATTTCCCCAGGCTATATGGCTGGTAAATGGCAGTGAGGGGAGGAGAAAGCTTCCTGGCAGTCTCCAGAAGGGGGTACGGGAACCAGGTTGGAGTTGGGGCCAACACCTGACCCAGCCACAGGCCCCATCGCTGGTCCAGGGCAGCAGGCCCAGCATTTGCTTGTCTATGTCCTGCTGTGGGCTTACGAGATAGAAATAAAAGCACAGCCAACATCTCTCACAAAAGACCTTTAATGGTCTCCTATTTATGATCCCTTTGTTCATTTGTCCTGTTAGAGCTGAATAAACTGTAATAACTTATCTGACATAATAAGGAATGCCATAGGTACAACAGATAAACCTGGCAGGTGCTCCAGGAATAAGGGCATCACAAAAGAGTCACTCAACAAAAGGGCCACAGACCTGGAGGCCCATCCCAGTTGCTTGTCCCTCCCCACACCCAGGATCCACACACAGTTCCAGGCTCAATCAGGCTCCCACTGGGAAGGAAGAGGCAGCCCCCACCAACCCTCAGAATCTGTGGCTAGACCCTAACACTGAGCAGTGGTGCCCCGGGAAGATGGTGTATCCTACGCTCATCCCACCGAGTGCTCTGCTGATCTGCAGGGCAGACTGTGACCACATCCTGAGTTTGTGACCCCTCCATCATACCCACTTATCTAGACACTTGTAGTAATCCCTCTGAGGTGGCAGAGCCTGGTACTATCATCTTACACAAGGGGAAACTGAGGTCAGGTTCCCAGAGGCACACTCACACTGAACGGACGACACCAGTTGGCACTTCTCCCATGCCACATGGCTTGCTGTACCCTGAGTCTCACATTTTCACCTGAAATGCCCAGAGTCGGGGACAGGCAGGATTCTATGCCAAGGGCTGGGTCCCCAAAGTGCCCACCTCTTCATCAACCCTGGTGAGGGACTTGGGCAGAGGGGCAGGCCAGCAGGGAGAGAATTGGGGGGCTATGGGTGGGGAACCAGCCTCTCTTCAGGCACCCTCCTGTTGCCACACACTCAGTTGACCATAAATATGGGAATGGAGTCTTATTAGAATTGCTCAAGGGAAATTTGCTTCTTAAAAGGTCTCTGTAATCTTGCCTTCATAGGAGGGACTTGTGTCATAAAGTCCTCCCTCAGCATTTCTTTTATGAAACCAAGACTTCCATCCACCTGGCTGTACTAAAGAGGAAACTAACTAGTTTCTCCTCCCATTACATTGCTCCTCTGTCATTGGCCTGGGCCAGGGAAGGGGGATGTCACACTGGGGCACAGACGCAAGTCCTGAGAGGGGGTTGGGCCTCTTTGCTTCCTCCACCGTCCCCCACGCTGCATGGGCCAATATCAGGGCAAAGACCCATCCTCACAGCACCAGGCCCCTGCCCAAATCAAACCGAAGCCAGAGCTTCAGGGGGAGTGGGGACTACAAGGCCATCAAATGTGTACGTGTGTGTGTGTGTCTGTGTGTGTGTGAATAAGCAAGTGCTTGGGACTGGGTCTGTGACCCAAGTTCCAATACAAAGATACTTCGCATTGGAATGCTAGAGCCATTCCAACATGAAAAGCCAGAATAGAACCTGTGCTTGCTGGTCTAAGATCAAACCTCAGAATAGTGGTTTGAAGAAGTTTTTCTTCAGAAGAAAGTTTGAAAGTGAAACTTCAACAGGCAAGACAGATAAAAGCGGCATTGTCCTGGTGGAAGTAGGAATGGGGGGAGGGCTGGAGACCTATCCTTTGCCTCCACCCTCATCTTCCCACCTTAGCAGCCCCTGACAAAGCTCTGTGGAACACCAGGGGTTCCACAGCACCTGATTTGAAAACCAGTGTGTCAGAGTCTATAGATCATGGGTCCTGGGGACCTGTGCTTGACTTCCCTTTTGGGGTGAAGACTTGGGACTGAGTGACGGGGGAGGATGTTCTCCCTCAATGGGCCTCTCTTTTAAGCAGCTGTGCAGTGAGCTTACAGGGGAGTGGCAGAGGTGGGGATCCAGCCCCACAGGTAGGCCATTTCAGTCCTGGAGAGAGGACAAAAGTGATGGAGCTGCCTGGGCCAGGATAGCAAAGTCCTAGGCCCAATGCAGGCTTATGCACGAGGGTTGGGGGAGTCTGTTTTGGTCCTTGTTGACGTTAAAAAGAAAAACATCAGAACAGATATGGGCTTACATCCATGAGATCCTATAAGTGTTTAAGACTGGGGCCTAATGCCTCCCTCCGAGATGGATGGAGAATGCCCAGCCCCAGTCGCTGGCAGGAGGGAAGCTGCCTTTGTGGGCTGCTGAAACCACTGGGGTTGGGTCAGCAGGGGCTCAGCTCTCAGAGTAAGAGGCCTGGGTTTCCCCTGGACCCAAATCTCTCCCAAGCATCACCAAGAAGTGACAATTGGCAGCTCTGGTTGATACTAGAGGGGCCTTGTAATTTGAAGGGAAGGGGCAGGCAGTTTCTGATCCACCTCATGCTTGGGGTTCTCTCATGGGGTAGAGGGGGTTTCAGCCTCTCCTGGGCCTGGGGGCTGGAGGCTCTTCCTAACCTGGGATCAGAGCCAAGGCATCCAAGATGCACCCCCACCCCCCAATCACTGACACTCTCCATGTCTTGTCTGTCTTGGCTGCTGGGACCACTGCCTGTGGGCATGGCATCCCTGAAGAGAATCTGAATTTCCCTCTCAGCTGGGTAACCGAAGCCAAACTGGTCGCATCTCGTTCTGGTTGACCTCAGCATAAGGGAGAGGGGGCAAGAGATGAAGACAGGTGGGAGGAGGCCTCAGCCCACAGCAAACTTCCTGTGTGACCCTAGGCTACTCCTGCATGATGGCAGGAAACTTACAGAGCTGACTTTCGTCGCCACTGATTTTCATCTCCACTGACTTTCATCTCCTTTGGGCCTCACAGATTCCTTGAGTCAGGCAGGGAAGGGATTACTGTCCCATTTTCCAGTTAGGGAAACCAAGATCAAGAGGTTGAATGAGTTGCTCAAGGCTACTCAGCTAGGTAGTGACAACCGGAACAGAGAAGAATTGTGGACTTCCAGGCCAGTTTGCTTTTTACTGCACCATGTGGGAACCAGCTTGTCAGCAACTCCCCCAACTGAATCAACACCCCAAGCAAGCCCACTCTCACTGGTCCAGGCTCTGGGACTGAGGAGGTCTGTGGAGTCCAGCCGAAGAACTCAGTCCTTCTCTCCACAGGGACTGAACTCTTCTCATGGTTGGAAGGCTTAGGAAGCCCCGCTGGCCTTCTGCCTGCATACTTTCACCCCGGGCCATGCTCTTCCCTCCTGCCCAGACTACTATCTACATGTCACCCACCTGGCCTACTGGAAAGTCCCAGTGTGGAGCTGCATGGCCAGCCCAAGCCCCAGATGTGTGGACAGGGAGAGCCAGTACTGTGGGCTGGCGCCAGGGGCCCAGTTTGGCTCCCTTACTCCCAATTTCACTCCACGGGCTCACCTGCACAGGCTGACTCCAGATGGAGAGGAGCCCTGCAGAGAAGGACTCAGTTGTGCATGGGTGGCTCGGGGGAGCAGGATCTGGAGCTAACCAGAAGCTTGGAAACATGATCTGGGCCTTTCTCTCAGGAAGAAGCTTTAGTGTCCCACTGGGCTGCAGCGCATGGATGTGCAGGAGGGTGCCCAGCCCAGGGGCAAGTGGGGCTAAACTCCAGCCTATGACCTCTCAAGAAGCTGTGCACTTCAACATGGGTTGAATCCACATGGAAGGGGCACCATTTCTAATTCAGATCAAGGCACTATACAGACTAGCAGCAACCATGGAGCCCTGAATGCAATGCCTTCCCCGTTACTTCCCCCTGTAACTTTCCCTTGATCATAAGCTTTCCAAGGACAGGTGCTGGGACCAACCCAACTCTGTCTCCAGTGCTCAGCACAGAGTGGAGAAGTTGTCAGCCAAGGATGGTTAAGCCAAATTCAAATGATCTTGACTACTGCCCTTCTGTAGTCCTGGGTCCAAAGAGTAAATAAAAGGTTAAATGGGTCCATGATGCTTCTTACAGCTGGAGAAACTTCATTTCAGCACTAGGATAAACCCAAAAGGGTGAGTGTGATATTCAAGTGGAAAGAGGTCAAGAAACCAGCCTGACAAAGCTTTTGTGTGACCAGGTTAGAAGAGGTCATTTTGTAGGTGAGTGATCACTCCAAATCCTAAATGGTCATGTACCAGCCCTAAAGGTTCCAGAAGACGACCCTGGAGAGCATATGCTTACCATGCGTTGTTCCAAAACTTCATCAACTCTACACCTGCCCAAATGAGGTGCAAACTGCCCAGCAAGCTCTGGAAGGGGCTGTATGCAGCTGGGATCCCCGAACTGGACAGAGAAGTTTGTCTGCCCTGAGCTGACTTGGTTCTGACCTAGGGTAGGGGTCCCGAGGGTTGCGTCTTCATGAGATCCAAAAGGGAAGGGCTAGGGTGCAGGGCCAGGCGTGTGAACTGGGTCATTTCACCGTGGAAAGTGGTTATAAAGTCCACCTCAGGAGAGGCTGGACTGTAAAGCACTGAAATCCAGCTTGTATAATAAAATTTTGTTGCCTCCCTTTTCACAAATATGGGACAAGGATAGAAGGGAACAAGAGATCCCTTTGCCCTGCTAATCAATATATTTGCTTGGGTATAAGGCCAACTTCAGGACATCCAAAGCGAGTGAGAAGGTCCTAGCGCAGCCCCTCCCCCAAGCCTCGGCAAATACAAGCTCTGGCCTTCGGTGCTGCTGGGGCCCTGGGGCCAGGTGGTGCGTGCTGGCTTGACATTAGGCAACACCCACAGGGACCCAAGAAGGACCCTTCTCAGGGCTGAAGCTGATACAGGTAGTGGTGCTAACAGCTCTCCAAGGCACTCCCTGGGGCCCAGTGAATCCTCAACGGTGGCAGACAGACCGGAGTCAGTGGCTCTGGCTCCGCCCACCAGAACAGAAGCTTTAATGTTCACAAATTCTTGGAGGCAGAGCTGGGAGAGTCCTTTGTGATCATCTAGTCAAATCCCTTGGCTTTTCTGCTAAAGAACTGAGACCCAGAGAGGAAAAGAAACTTGCCCAAGGTCACACAGTAAGTGGGCATCAAAGGCCAGACAAGAACAGATACCTTTTAACACTTCCTGCCTCATCATCTGCCTGCTCCATTGCCTTGGAAATGCCCCACATCCCCATCACACCAACACCAGCCAGTGGGTACTGGATACCCATGACACTGGGAACTTCTTGGGTGGGGGGGAATCATCAACTCCCCAGGGACACAAAGGAATCCCCCTTCCTTTTAGGTGAGGGCATGTCGATGGACCTGCCACCTTCTGGGGAAGGATTCCCTTTGCCAGTGGGCACAGTGGCCTCAGGTGCTCTCTCCTAGCCTGCAGGGCCAGCCCAGCCTAGCCCTGGAGAACCGCAAGGGCAGGAGGACACCGGTGGCCCCAGCCCCTCTGGCCCTCCACTCTTGCTCCTGCAGGATTCCTGATCCCTCATAAGTATACAAAAGAAGGGAGTGAGCAGACTCTCATCTTCCCACCTGGCCCCCATCTCCCAGGCAACCTCTTCAGGAGCTTGGTGCTTTCTAAAGAACTGTCCCTTCTCTCTCTCTCTCTCTGCATGTCTGTGGGCAGGACACACACATAAGATGAAAGACAGCTGGGCTATCACATCCTGATGATACTGAAGTAGAACTTGAGCTAACTCACACAATTTGCCTTAGACTAGGTAACTGCTGGTAAGAAAGTCCAATTGCTTTTCTCCACACCTGGGGTCTACAAACCTTCACCAATGTCACTGTCAGTCACAGAGGAACATGGGGCAGAGACAGGGGAGGAAAGGGAGAGGTGTTTGGTGGGTCCAAACTGCAAAAACAACTGCATGGAGAATCCATCCACAGGTCTGCCCTCCCAGCCAGAGGAGGGTGGCCTTCAATGCAGTCATGTTTTAGCTGCCAGAACTGTGTTAATCGCCTGCGACAGTAGACATCCTCTCATGTGTCTTGAGCCCCCATCCCCACCCATCCAAGCCCTCGTGCCCCATTCTCCTGTTTCCACTCCCCATCCAAAGTCAAATTCAGAGCCATGGTGGCTTTCCTGGGGGTCAACAGGAAAAGAGAGGGGGATGGAGAGGTGACTTCAGTGAGGGGGTGAAGGTGGTGCATGTGGCCCTGCTGGCATGGTGATGTGGGCCAATCCTGAGGCCAGAGGTTCACCACCATGACCTGGAAGACCACTGGGCCCCCTGGAAGAAACTGGAAGAACAAAGGGGAGGGGGAACCAGGACAGGAAGAAGACAAACAAGCATCCTAGTGCGTGAGAGTGGACCTGGAGCCGCCCGGAGGGAGGGCCGGCCCCAGTCTATCTGTCGTTGAGCTGTGGAGAGCCGGTACCATCCTCCTCTTCCTCCTTGTCGTCCTTCACACCCTTCAGTCTCTGGCGGGCAAAGTCCTCAAACACAATGTCGTCATCGCTGGTGGGAAAGACAAGGAAAATGGGTGTGTGTGCAGGGCAGGGAGAGGAGGCTTAACCAGAGGGGTCAGAGGGCCAGCCCAGCCAGGTGGGGCTCAGAGGCTGGACTCTGGGGCTGGCCTCAGGCAGAAAGGCTTGTTAAGCTGCACAGCTGGATACCCATCTGTGGCAGTGGGACTGGCCAGTTGTGGCAATACCAGAGGGAGGCATGAGTTTGCCGTTCATGGAAATTGACCCAGTTCTTGAGGAGCTGGGGTTGGGAGACATATTAAATGGGGGGTGGGCGGTGTGGCTGGGCTAGGGCCAGAGGAGGACCTTATTCTCACCGTGAGAGACCAGGCCACCAGTAGTTTCAAAGTATATTCTGAATCTCCCAAGAACAAGCCCAAGAAAACCCACTCACCCACCCAAAGAACTGCCCTCAGGAAACACTCCTGTTTTCTGCACAGGCAGAGTGGGCTTGGCTTGAAAGAGAAAACCACGAAGGCCCTTTCTGCAGGGAAGTGTCAGCTCACATTCTATGGTGAGGGAACTCGGATAAGTCAGGGTCTGCTTCAGGGGGAGAGGGGACGGAGTCGGGGGGAGATTGGGGTGAGGGGC